AAGATTGAAATTGTATCAAGCAGCTCCTCTGACCACAATGGTATGAAACTAGAAATAAATTACACAAAGAAAACAAAAAACAAACACATTGGTGGCTAAACAACATGCTTCTGGATAATGAATGGATGAATGAACTATTTAAAACAGAAATAAAGCAATACACGGAGAAAAATGAAAACAAAAATTCAACAGCCCAAAATCTATGGGATGTGCTAAAGACAGTTGTAGGAGGAAAGTACATAGCAATATAGGCTTACCTCAAGAAACAAGAACAATCCCAAATATACATTTAATCAGAATAAAATATGCATAAACAATACATTTAATCAGAAGGACTTAACAGACATCTACAGTACATTCCATCCCAAAGCAGCAGGATACACATTTTTTTCAAGTGTACATGGAACATCCTCCAGAATAGATCATATACTAGGCCACAAAAAAGTCTTAGTTCACAATTAAAGAAACTAGAAGAAGAAGAACAAATGAAGCCCAAAGTTAGTACAAGGAGGGACATAATAAAATCAGAGCAAAAATAAAGAAAATTGAGAAGAATAAAACATTAGAAAACAAATCAGTGTAACCAGGAGCTGGTTTCTTTGAGAAAACAAACAAAATAGATAAACTCCTAGTCAGACTTATCAAGGAAAAAAGAGTATTACACACATCAACAAAATCAGAAACAAAAAAAGGCATAATCACAACAGATACTGCAGAAATACAAAAAATTACTACAGAATAATATGAAAAATTACATGCCAATAAATTGGACAACCTAGAAGAAATGGACAACTTTCTAGAAAAATTCAAACTTCCAAGACTGACCCAGGAAGAAACAGAAAATCTGAACAGACCAATTACCAGCAATGAAATCAAATTGGTAAGCAAAAAATTCCCTGAAAACAAAACTCCAAGTCCAGATGGTTTCACAGTTGAATTCTATGAACAATTTACAGAAGAGCTAATACCTATCCTTCTTTTATTTTATTTTATTAAGGTATTATTGATATACACTCTTATGAATGTTTCACATGAAAAGCAATGTGGTTACTACATTCACACATATTATCAAGTCTCCACCCATACCCCATTGCAGTCAACATCCATCAGTGTAGTAAGATGCTACAGATTCGCTATTTGCCTTCTCTGTCCTACACTGTCTTCCCCATGACCCCCCACACCATGTGTACTAAACATAATACCCCTCAGTCCCCTTCTGCCTCCCTCCCCACCTGCCCGCCATACCCCTCCCCTTTGGTAACCGCTAGTCCCTTCTTGGAGTCTGTGAATCTGCTGCTGTTTTCTTCCTTCCATACTCCACAAATGACGGAAATCATTTGGCACTTGTCTTTCTCTGCCTGACTTATTTCACTGAGCGTAATATCCTCCAGCTCCATCCATGTTGTTGCAAATGGTAGGATTTGTTTCTTTCTTATGGCTGAAAATTACATGCCAATAGGGTTCATTGTGTATATGTACCATATCTTCTTTATCCATTCATCTACTGATGCACACTTAGGTTCCTTCCATATCTTGGCTATTGTAAATAGTACTGTGATAAACATGGGGATGAATATGTCTTTTTGAATCTGAGAACTTGTGTTCTTTGGGTAAGTTCCTAGGAGTGGGATTCCCGATACCCATTCTTCTTAAAGTATTCCAAAATATAGAAAAGGGGGAGATACTTCCAAACCCATTCTATGAGGCAAGCATCAGTCAAATACCAAAACCAGACAAAGACACCAAAAAAAAAAAAGGAAATTCCAGACCAATATGCCAGATGAACATAGAGGCAAAAATCTTTAACAAAATATTCACACACTGAATTAAAATAATACATAAAAAATATCATCCATCATGACCAAGTGGGATTTATTCCAGGGTTGCAAGGATGGTACAGTATTTGTAAATCAATCAATATCATGTACCACATCAACGAAAAGGATGAAAACCACATGATCATCTCAATAGATGCTGAAAAAGCATTTGACAAAGTTGAACATCCATTCAAGTTACAAACTCTCAACAAAATGGGTTCATAGGCTACGTACCTCAACATAATAAAGGCCATACATGACATCCCACAGCCAACATCATAGATAACAGCAAAAAGTTGAAAGATTTTCCTCTAACATTGGGAGCTGCTTTTATTCAACACAGTACTAGAGGTCCTAGCCATGGCAACTAGACAAGATAAAGAGATCAAAGCCATCCAAATTGGTGAGGAAGAAGTTAAACTGTCACTGTCACTGTTTGCTGATGACATGATATAATAAATAGGAAACCCTAAAGACTCCACAAAAAACTATTAGAACTAATAACAGAATTCAGCAAAGTTGCAGGATACAAAATTAATACACAGAATATGTTGCATTCCTATATACTAACAACAAACTAGCAGAAAGAGAAATCAGGAAAACAACTCCATTTGCAACTGCATCAAAAAGAATAAAATACCTGGAATAAGTCTAATCAAGGAGGTGAAATACTTTTACTCTGAAAACTACAAGACACTCATGAGAGAAAGTAAAGAAGACACCAATAAATGGAAACCTATCCCATGCTCATGGATAGGAAGAATTAATATTGTCAAAATGGTCATCCTGCCCAAAGCAATTTACAGATTCAATGCAATCCCTTATCAAAATACTAATGGCATTTTTCAATGAACTAGAACAAGTAGTTCTAAAATTCAGTGGAGCCACAAAAGACCCTGAATAGCTAAAGCAATTCTGAGAAGGAAGTACAAAGCTGGGATTATGCTCCCTGACTTCAAGTTCTACTACAAAGCCACAGTAATCAAAACAACTTGGTACTGGCACAAAAACAGACCTATAGATCAATGAAACAGAATAGAGAGCCTGGGTATAAACCCATGTATCTATGGTCAATTAATATATGATAAAGGATCCATGGATATACAGTGGAGAAAAGACAGCCTCTTCAGTAACTGGTGTTGGCAAAACTGGACAGCTACGTGTAAGAGAGTGAAACTGGATTATTGTCTAACTCCACACACAAAAGTCAACCTGAAATGGATCAAAGACCTGAATGTACGTCAGGAAACCATAAAACTCTTAGAAAAAAACATAGGCAAAAATCTCTTGAATATAAGTATGAGCAGTTTTTTCCTGGACACATCTCCTTGGGCAAAGGAAACAAAATAAAAAATGAACAAGTGGGACAACATCAAAGTAAAAAAAGTTTCTGTACAGCAAAGGACACCATCAGCAGAACAAAAGGCATCTTACAGTATGGGACAATGTATTTGCAAATGACTTATCTGATAAGGAGTTAACACCCAAAATATATAACATACTCATTCTTCTCAACATCCCAAAAACAAATAACCCGACTAAATAATGGGCAGAGAACCTGAACAGAGATTTCTCCAAAGAAATACAAATGGCCAATTGGCACATGAAAAGACTCTCCACATTGCTAATCATCAGGGAAATGCAAATCAAAGCCACAATGAGATATCACTTCACACCAGTTAGAATGGCCACTGTCCAAAGGACAAGAAATAAAAGTTGGGGATGATGTGAAGAAATGGGAACCCTCCTACACTGTTGATGGGAATGTAAATTGGTGCAACTGCTGTAGAAAGCAGTATGGAGGTACCTGAAACAGCTAAAAATATAAATACCATTTAATCCAGTAATCCCACTTCTAGAAATTTACCTGAAGAAAACAAAATCCCTGATTCAAAAAGATATATGCACCCTGATGTTTATCACTAAACTATTTGCAATAGCTAAGATATGAAAACAACCTAAGTGTCCATCAGTAAATGAATGGATAAGGAAGATGTCCGTATATGCAATGGAATATTCATATACAAAATGAAATATTATTCAGCCATAAAATAACAAATCCTGCCAATTTCAACAACATGGTTGGAACTACAGGGCATTGTGCTCAGTGAAATAAGCCAGGAGGAGAAAGACAACTACAAATGATTTCCTTCATTTGTGGAGTTAAACAACAAACCAAAACTGAAAGAACAAAACAGCAGCAGACTCACAGACTCCAAGAAGGGACTGACTAGTGGTTACCAAAGGGAAGGCGTTGGGGAGGGTGTGTGGGAAGGGAGGGAGAAGGGGATTAAGGGGCATTGTGGTTAACACCCATAATGTAGGGGGGTCACAGGGAAGGCAGCATGTTGTACAACATGTACAACATGTTGATTTGATAGATAATAGCCTTTAGCATGAAGTCAGTAGAACTCAAATTTTCTTCTATGATCTTCTAAGATCTACAATTCCCTTATTATTTGCTTTCAACTTACCCCCCAAAATTTCCCCCTTCTCTACCACCTTCCACCTACCAGGTTTTGTGAAGATGTTACAATCTAGCAGATTCGATGTCCTGGAGGAATAGTACATTTCAGACCTTCCCTCATGCTAGTATTTCATTTTTTCCTCAAAGCATCCTTTCATTTAGCTATGATATACTTTCCCTCATGCCTTGTGTGCTTGCTGTCACATCATTCTCCTTTATGTTCACCCAGTGGGGAGCAGGTGATGTGAACTGCAGAAAGTCTCTTTTTTGGAACAAAACAGTTGGGGAAGAAAGAGTTTGCAGCTATGTGCTGTCCATCACATCCTGCAGGCTGTTTTCATGAAAGCTTTACTAGAGCTGATTTTCCATCTGCTCCTCCAATAGCCCTTCCTTCTGTGATTTTGCTGTTTGTAGTAGAATCTTGATGCATATACTAGAAGTGATGGATATAGGTGATCATGTGGGGTGGAAAGATAGGTCAGCTCTTGGTGGCCACAGAGGAAATGGACTGATTTAGTACCTTTGAAAGCTGCTTGAGATCAGCCTAACCATTCTAGAAAATCCTATAACCAGTAGATTTTTAGGAGAGCAGGACAGCAGTGAGAGTATATTTGTTTTTATTTCTGTTATCATTTGAAAGCAATGTATTCTAATTTGAGGGCCTAAACTTCTCCATCCCTTATGTTCATTTTCTTTTTTTCTCTCCCATTATTTAGGTTCACGGAGATGCTTCTTTCTGTGGTCAAGGGATTATTCCTGAAACATTTACGCTCTCTAATCTCCCACATTTCAGAATTGGTGGGAGTATCCATTTGATTGTCAATAACCAGCTGGGTTACACCACTCCTGCAGAAAGAGGACGGTCTTCATTATATTGTAGTGATGTTGGTATGTAACCCAGGGAGAAGCTAATGTTACTGGGTCAGACAAGGAGTCCTTAGAGAAACTTCTCATTCACTGAGAACAGCTGGCCTCTCTGGTCATCCCATTTAAAATTTTGGATCACATACAGTCAGTAATCACCAACAGAGTTGTTCAGTTAATATTCCTTTAGAAGTTGGAGTGTGATCTTTATATCCAAGGAAACTGGACAAGAGTGGAATTTAGAGGGTTCCTTCCCATTGCTAAGTGTCCAGATGAACAGTCTAGTGGAAAGCAGAGCCTAACATAATTATAGCAACACCAGAGTCATTGCCTTTAGGATATTCAAGCTTGGAGTACCCAAGATCTTATTCTAAAACAGAATGTTCAGCCTAAATTTAGCTAAATGGTGTGGTTAGAAAACAAAGTTGACTTGTTTTAAACTGGAGAGTGGCAGGATTAGAGAGAGGCAGGGTTTTTATTTACCATCCTAAGTCACAGAGTTAGAAGAACCACTGGTAGGAACTATTCTGTTTTTATAAAAAGACCCTGGCCTGGATGCCTTTTGGGGCTATCTGTGTGGATTTTTTGTGATTAGTTTGATAGATATACTGAAAACAAGTTCTAGGATTTCTCTTTAGAGAACATCCTTTTTCTTCCTGGGATACATCCTTTAATGACCCATTTATCTCAGGAGGATAGATAATAGTAATAATGGTAATGACAAAATAAAGTTAGTTTTATGTACCAAGCAATTTTAAGCACTTTATATGCATTAACTCATTTAATCTTTACAACATCACTAAGAGGCAGGATCAGGTATCCCAGTAATATAGATAAAGAGACTGGGATTCATAATTCTACCAAGGTTCACACAATAAGTCACAGAGCTGTTATTGAACTTGTTCTTGTCAGCTGGATTCCAAGCTGCCAAGACAAACTACTTTTGAGTGTGTGGACTGCATACCCACACAGGCAATAGGACTTGGAGGTGGGCTAATGTTGTTTGGGGTTAACTGGCTGGCTTCATCTAGGTCTTCTCTGCCCCAGGAAAGCTTGTGGGCTGTGCCATCATCCACGTCAATGGAGACAGCCCAGAGGAAGTGGTCCGTGCCACACAGCTGGCTTTTGAATACCAGCGCCAGTTCCGGAAGGACGTGATTGTTGACTTGTTATGCTACCGACAATGGGGCCACAATGAGCTGGATGAGCCCTTCTTCACCAACCCGGTCATGTACAAAATCATCAGGTAGAATTATAACCCTGAACAATGGATTTTAAGGAATGTTCAGAACTGCATTGTTCAAGTTTAAGATCCCCTCTCCCTGATAGTGCTCACATTATTTTTATTAGGCTCTCAAGTAGGGTGACCAACTTTCCCAGTTAATCTTAAATCTGGGACAGCCATGGGCAGACTGGGATGGTCACCCTGTGGGTAACCTTCATCCTCACTTAGCAAATGGGAAGAATGAAATAGGAGGGCTTTGGCAGAGCCCAGCCTGACACTACTTAGTATGGCATTGACAGGGCCAGAAACAGACCCTCCATGATTCACTTCTACAGACAATAGATGAGGACCTACTTTGTGCCTTGGCAAGGAATGTTCAGAACTGCATTGTTCAATATGGAAGCCACCAGCCAATTGTAAGTGGCTATCCAACCCTTGAAATGTAGCTAGTCATGATGGAAATGTCCTGAAGTACAATATTCACACCAGATTTCAAAGACTTAGTATGAAAAAAAAAAGTAAACATTTCAGTAGTAATTTTTATATTGATTAAGAATTGAAATCACAATATTTTGTACATGTTGAGTTAAATATATTATTAAAATTAATTCCACTATTTTTTTTACCTTTTGTAATATCACCACTAGGAACTTTTATTTATTTATTTTATTGGAATATAGTTGATAACACAATATTATTTATATTGGTTTCAGATGTACAACATAGTGACTCAATAATTATATACATCAGTAAATGCTTGCCACAGTAAGTGTAAGTACCCTGTTACCACCAGCATATTATAATATTATTGGTTATATTCTCTATATTGCACTTCCAAGAAAATTTTAAACTACTCATTGGCTTGCATTGTATTTCTACTGGATAACATTGAGATAGGAGGTTAATGTGATGGGGAGAAATATGTTACTTTGCAATTTCCTTTTTAGATACAAGAAAGTAAAACAGAGCCCTCTTCCCCACTTTATTTCCTCAAAGAAATAAATCAAAGCAGAGGAATGCATTTGGTGACATTTTACAGGCCTTTTTGGTCATAGGTAGCAGATTGCTCTTAGAAGAACACATCTGGGTTCTCTGTTTAGCTCTGAATTTAGCCACTGAATGACTTGATGTGACTCCAGGCTACATAAAAAAAAATTCATCCTGTCTGCTCACTTTTTGTCAGGATTAAATGTGATAATATATGTGAACAGACTATATAGTTTAAATGATTATGTGAATGTAGAGTGACATTATTATTTCTGTTGTAAAGCCTACGTACTGATTATTGTAATTATTGGATTACTAAAGCCACCTGAAACAGATGTGGCAACTTTGGGCTCAATACTTTTGAAATAAAGGGGTGCTGAATGGGTTGACAGTGTCAGTCAATCTTGTAAATAATTTACCAATTTATCAATTTGTAGAACTCTACTGCTAATTATTTCTACCTGGATATAGACAAAATCTCATCATGGTAAATTTTTCTCTTGCTTGCCTAGAAGAGGTTGTTACCACTGTCTTTTTTTTTTATGTATATATTTTTATGGATGTCCCTGTACAATTATCTTTGAACAGTTGCACAAATGTAACTGTATAAATAGAATTTTTAAGTCATAGTGTATGCATAAACATTTTCATTTTAGTAGCCTAATTGTTCTTTTTTAATTTAATTTTTATTTTTATTAAGGTATCATTGATATACAATCTTATGAAGATTTCACATGAAAACAATGTGGTTACTACATTCACCCATATTATCAAGTCCCCCCCATACCCTAATGAAGTCACCATCCATCAGTTTAGTAAGATGCCACAGAGTCACTACTTGTCTTCTCTGTGCTACACTATCTTCCTCATGACCCCCCACACCATGTGTACTAATACCCCTCAATCCCCTTCTCCCTCCCTCCCCCCACCCTTTTCCGCCCCTCCCCTTTGGTAACCACTAGTTCCTTCTTGGAATCTGTGTCTGCTGCTGTTTTGTTCCTTCAGTATTTGCTTTGTTGTTATACTCCACAAATGAGGGAAATCATTTGGTACTTGTCTTTCTTCTCCTGGCTTATTTCACTGAGCACAATACCCTCTAGCTCCATCCATGTTGTTGCAAATGGCAGGATTTGTTTCTTATGGCTGAATAGTATTACAGTGTGTATATGTACCACATCTTCTTTATCCATTCATCTACTGATGGACACTTAGGTTGCTTCCATTTCTTGACTATTGTAAATAGTGCTGCAATAAACATAGGGGCACATAAATCTTTTTGAAACTGGGATCCTACATTGTTAGGGTAAATTCCTAGGAGTGGAATTCCTAGGTCAAATGGTATTTCCATTTTGAGTTTTTTGAGGAACCTCCATACTGCTTTCCACAATGGTTGAAGTGGTTTACATTCCCACCAGCAGTGTAGGAGGGTTCCCCTTTCTCACATCCTTGCCAGCATGTGTTTTTGTTTGTCTTTTCTATGTTGGCCATCTTAACTGGTGTGAGGTGATATCTCATTATGGTTTTAATTTGCATTTCTCTGATAGTGATATGGAGCATCTTTTCATGTACCTGTTGGCCATCTGAATTTCTTCTTTGGAGAAGTGTCTGTACATATCCTCTGCCCATTTTTTAATTGGTTTATTTGCTTTTTAGGTGTTGAGCATTTGAGTTTTTTATATTTTTTGGATGTTAACCTTTTGTCGGATATGTTATTTACAAATATATTCTCCCATACTGTAGGATGCCTTTTTGTTCTGCTGCTGATGTCCTTTGCTGTACAGAAGCTTTTTAGCATGATGTAGTCCCATTTGTTCATTTTTGCTTTTGTTTCCCTTGCCTGAGGAGATTCATTCAGGAAAAAATTGTTCATGTTTATATTCAAGAGATTTTTTCCCAAGTTTTTTTCTAAGAGTTTTATGGTTTCATGACACGTTTAGGTCCTTGATCCATTTTGAGTTTACTTTTGTGTATGGGGTTAGACAATAATCCAGTTTCATTCTCTTGCATGTAGCTGTCCAGTTTTGCCAACACCAGCTGTTGAAGAGCCTGTCATTTCCCCATTGTATGTTCATGCCTCCTTTATTGTATAGTCATTGACCATATATGCTTGGGTTTATATCTGGGCTCTCTAGTGTATTCCACTGGTCTATGGTTCTGTTCTTGTGCCAGTACCAAATTGTCTTGATTACTGTGGCTTTGTAGCAGAGCTTGAAGTTGGGGTGTTCACCACTGTCTTTAAAAAAAAAACAATGTATTGGAGTGAAAGTTGTAACATAAAATGGGCCATTTCAAGGGGACCAATTTAGAAGCACTTAGTACCTTCTCATTTGTACAACCACCTCATCTGTCTACTTCCAAAACATTACCTATGTGCCTTTTTATAGCATGACATTCTATCATCCCTTCAGCAATGACTATCTGTCTCTCTTTGGTGTACACACATCATATTGATATTTTTTTCCTTTTCTTTGTTAGAGCCCGAAAGAGCATCCCAGACACATATGCAGAGGACCTCATTGCCAAGGGACTCATGACCCAGGAAGAGGTGTCAGAAATCAAAGCCTCCTACTATGCAAAGTTAAATGACCATTTAATGAATGTGGCCCACTATAGCCCTCCTACCACAAGCCTGCAGGCCCACTGGCAGGGCCTGGTTCAGCCAGGAGCATGCATTACTACCTGGAACACAGGGGTGCCCCTAGACCTGCTGCGGTTTATTGGTGGGAAATCTGTGGAGGTGCCGGAGGAGCTCCAAGTGCACAGCCACCTTCTGAAGACTTATATTCAGGTAGGAAACATTGAACTCTCTGGTAATTAATTGCTTGCCTGTCTTGTACGGCAAAGGACTTGGTGCTGGTCTCGTCTTCATGGTTGGCTAATAATTTGACAAATATTTATTGCATGCCCTTAGATTCTGGAACCGATCCTGGTGGTGTTTTGGTGATGTTAGTTCAGATTTTGTCTACTTTGCTTATTTATTTATGTATTTGCATGTTTGTTGCTTATGTGATTATACATGCACATTATTAAAAATGCAGTGATTTAGGAATGCCTGTTTTGATTTTTCTGACCAGTGAGCAGAAAACACTTTCATTGTTTTAGGTGGCTTAATAAGCATCACACATATACCCCTGAAGGCAATCATATGCACCCTTAAACATGCTGAGGTGTTACATATTGTCTCATACTAAGTGTCTATTGATGAACTGTCCTGGTTTGCCTGGGACTTGTGTTTCCTGGAATCCAGGACTTTCAGTGTTGAAAATGGAGAGCAAGGAGTTGAAGAAGACACTTGGCCATCTGAATTATTTTTAAAACACTAACTTCCTTTTTAATTTTTATCACAGGTATAGAAATTGTTATACAACAATCTATGTACTTACTCACTATGCATTCTGCTGCAGAAATCGAATATTACAAATACAGCTCCCCTGTGTGTATCCCTGATGCCAGCTCCTCTCTTTCATCTACAGGATTATTCACTAGTCCACGTGCCTATTTGTTTTGCCTGTTTTAAAGCATCATATAACTGCTATCACATTCTCATTTCCTTCTGCACTTGGTGGTTTATTACAGTATATTTTTGATACTGTTGTTGCATTACACTTTTTTAACTCAGTGTGAGAAAGGATATGGATCCCTAAAAGTTTCTTTTTTTCTTCCCTTTATTTTACAGTCCAGAATGGAGAAGGTGATGGATGGAACAAAGTTAGACTGGGCCACAGCAGAAGCTCTTGCCTTGGGTTCATTACTTGTTCAAGGTAAGAAGTTTCTGTTCAGCTGCACAACTGGTAAGAAATGCATTCTGTGACATTTGTTGTGCGTGAGCCCTGAGGTTTTGAGTCACAACTACCTCCTTTCATTTTCGTTGACTAGAGAGGTTCTAAAATGTGTTAACTTTTCTTGCCTGAAAATCCTGTTTAGTATAAGTCATGTTGACAACCTTCATCAGAGAATAGACTGGAGAACAATTATTCCCAGGAAACAAATGCTCAGTGATAGATGTATTCAAAATGTTTTCCTTTGGAAATATAGGGCAAATGATGACTCTCCATTCTTATACAATCTCACCTTGATAGAGACTTTTGAATGGGTATGTTGTAATAAGGATAATCACTATCCTAAAGAAAATTCTCAGGATGAGCTGCTGTATAAGAGGTCAAGGTCACTAAGCCTTATTATTACTTAGGTTATTCATGGGAATCTGGATTTTTTTTTCCTTCTTGCTTGTTTAAGGTTTTAATGTCCGTCTGAGTGGCCAAGATGTTGGCCGTGGAACATTTAGTCAGAGGCATGCAATGGTTGTTTGCCAGAAGACTGATGACACCTACATCCCTCTGAACCATATGGACCCTAATCAGAAAGGGTTTCTAGAGGTAGGATATTTTATCATCTATTGTAAAACCCAGGTGCTGATGTTTATGGGTATAGGATTCTGAAAGGAACTAGAAACACATGCTGGTGACTTTGGGTTCAGTTCTTTTTTAAATAAATGGTTGCTGAATGAGTAGAGCATGTAGGGCTATCCACTTGAAATGGAAATAACATACTAGTGAGTAGACTAGAGCTTTTTTATTCTCGCTACTTATCTCTAATCATGGAAATGTCAAACAGGTGTTCATGTTGTCAGTCCAAGGGTGACATTATAATCTGCATGTTGTTGAAATCATTAAAGTAAGCCAAAAATGTGGATAATAAGCCAGCATGTCTTGCCTAATTAAAAAAAACCACTTCCTCAAGGTTACCTTATTTCCTAAGCTCTAGTGGGCTTGATAAATGCATCTATTATCATGTATTTCTCTGTGCCAGTTGCTGAGCCATGCTTGTTAGGCAGGGGCTGGGTCTTTTCATTTTTGTCTCTCCAACAATTGGCATGGTGCCTGGCACATGACATTTACTAACAGAAATTACCCTTTAAAGTACAGTTAGTACCATGTCACCTTTTTTTGTGTGAAGAGTATAATCTTCAGTTCACTGACATATAGTTTTTTTTTTTTTAATTCACTTGTCAAAAACAAGATTCAAAGATGATTACTTAAAGGACATGCAGCTCATCGTTTCTTCAAGTTAGTCTAAAATCCACCCTGGATCAAGTCAGATTGGTGATCTATGTATATACATTACAGAAATGTTTAGGATCCCCCACCCCCTGTCTTTATGAATTGTGATTTGATACACAGTATCAATTAATTTTGAATATTGCTATTTAGAAAGCCCCAAGTAAATGCCTTTCATCTGTTTTGAGGATGTGTCAAAGATTTCACTGATGCCCTTTCTTTGAAGACCCTGGGACAAACTCTTGCTCGATCTTGATATTGAAAGTACTTGTAGTTCTCTAGGCAGTGGTTTGTCTTCGTTGTGTGTTAACTGTGAATTCTGCAACTGACCAATGCTCCCTTGTCAATAATGGCTTCTAGAAAGGGAGGCCATGGCTGCCTCAGTGAAAGTAAGTCACCAGGTTATGTTTTTTCCCCAACTCTGTTCTGTGTGTCACAATTTATTTATCTTTTTATCTCCACTTATTTACACTAGAATGTTGTATATTATGTATATTCACAAGGCATCTTAAATACTTTTTGGAATAAATAAAAGGATTAATAGATTTAAGAAATCAAGGAAGGTAAGTATATACCACTCTAAGAAGTACAATAAATATGTAAGGAGAAGGAACAGCTAATCTACTTGGGGAAGTCAGGAAAAGCTTGGGAGAGGAAGCCAAGTTTGAGCTGGTACTTGAAGGACATAATGAGTTGCTGAGTCTAATAAATGTAGGGAGAACATTCTAGGTGGACACAATAATACAAAGAAGAGCTGTGAAGTAAGAGGACTTGGCATGCTCAGGGAACTACAGATAGTTTCATATGATAGCTAAGTGGATACAGGGGCAAGAAAGAGGAGACGGTCCAGATAGGACCACCCACACTGTGGGAGACAATGTTGTTTGAAAGAGAAACCATGGAGGGATTTTGAACAAGTGATCAGATTTTCAAATTAAAAAGGACACTGGTGACAATACTTTGAAAGCCTAAATTGAAGTAGGATAAGAACTTTGGACAATTTTTTCCTAGCTTTATTGAGATATGTAACAATCTCTAAGGAGGCTTCTCAGTCATCTATGCCAGAAATCATGGGACCTGAGTTAGGGCAGTAGCTGTGCAGGTAGAAGATGGGGCCTGCTCTGAGAACATTCAGGAAACAACGGTGACAGGACTAAGTGGTAGATGTGGGGAATGAAGAAGGAAGACTGGTCTCAGTTCTCTCCTAGCCTCCTGACTTGGTCATCTGGTGTATGATGAGTTGGATGCATTCACCCAAATAGTGAAAGGGAGGGAACAGGTGTGGTAAGGAAAGGTGATGGATTCAGTTTTGGACATCAGAATTTGAGGTGGCTGGGGGGCATAGAAGTTTCTATCAGGTGATTAGGTATGTATATTGGGAGTTAAGGAATCTTCTGGATATACAGTTTTGGAAGTAATCAGGCAGCAGGAGTGTTTGAAACCATGGGGGTGGGAGAATCTCCATGAGGGAGCAGAGTGAAAGAGAACGGCCTGGGAAAAACAACTTCTAAGGGACCGGCAGAGGAACAATATTTCCCAAAGGAGCATCTAGAAAGGCAGGAGGAGAATGGGAATCCCTGTGCCATGGACTAAGTAAGGAGTGGGGAGTCAGGTAAGAGGAGGAGTGACCTGGCCATTGGCGTTAGCAGCTGGGAGGTGCAGGGTTGGCCTGTGGAGACACTGCCGTGGAATGGTGGGAGCAGGAGCTGGGCTGTCTAGCTGATGGGCAAACAGGAGCGAAGAGGTGGAAGCAGTGTACTAGATCTTTCTGGAAGCTTGAGTGTGAAAGGAAGCAAGAGCTGGAGAACACTGTCAGGGGAATATTTCTTCTTTTATTTTTAAGCTTTTGATTTCTATCTGCTGAGAAGAGAAAGCCAGTGAGGAGAGGTTCAGAGAAGAGGAGTTAGGTGAGGAAGCAGGTGAAGAAGCAGAGGGAGGGGGTGGATTTGGAATATGGGTGGGTACGTCAGGGAAGGGAGATGAGAAGGAGGTGGGGCCGGGCCAGAGGTGCAAGGAAAGCGGCCCGTCTGCACTCCATTTACAACACACTCATGAGTTGGAGAAATGTGGCAGCCCTTTAAAATTAATGTAGTATATACATTATAACTGAACTCAAAATAGAAATCAGAGAAGATAAGTTATTCACAAGCCCACCGTGCTAATCAATCATCTATATTCATTTTCCTGTGGTGCTATTGAATGCTTAGCTATATATATCACACATATTTATAGTTGTAATCATAGTCCAGATGTAATTTTTTTCCAGTTTTTTTAATACAAACCTTATTGAGATATAACTCATAGACTTCAGCCTTTCAGAGTGCACAATTCAGTGGGTTTTAGTGTACTCAGAGTTGTGCAACCATCACCACTGTCTAATTTCAGAGCATTTTTATCACTCCAAAAAGAAACCTCAACCCTATTCCTTCTCCCCTCAGCTCCAGGCAACCACTAATCTACTCTCTGTCTCCAGGGATTTGCCTTTTTTGGACTTTTCATATATATGTCATATAAATAGAGTCATATGATACATGGCCTTTTGTGATAGGTTTCTTTCTCTCAGCATCATGTTTCCAAGGTCCATTCATGTGGTAGTATGTGTCAGTATTTCATTCCTTATTATTGCCAAATAATATTCTATAAATATATAACTTTAAAAAATATTTTTTAGAAAAATTTTGAAACAAATACAAAATTATGAAAAGGTTGGATGCATAATACAGAAGAACTGCTTTTCATTCTGAAGCATTTGAGACATCAAGTTGGAAACATCTGGTTGCCAAAGTGAGGCCCTAAATGTGTACTTCCTGCAAACAACATTTTCCATCATTACCACAATATGACATCCAAGTCAGAAAAAGTAATACTGAGACAGGACTCCCAGCACAGAATCATGTTGCATTTAATTGTCATGGCTCTTCAGCCTCTTCAGAGATCTATTTTATATTCTGCTTTTTTAAATTATAACATGCTGTGCTGATGTTTTTGCTTTATTGTGCGAATAGGGTCTCAGGATAATGGAGTCTAACCAAAGGTAGGTCTTTTCTGAGTAACTTTCCCCTTTTTGTTTTGTGATATTTAAAAAAAATAAGGTTGTGGCATACAGTTTTACTCTCAGCTTCAAAGGTGGTTCATCCAAAAAAATTAATTTTGCTTATCCTTGAAGAACAGCTTTAATGCCCACCTTCCAACATCTTTGTCCCAACTTTTCCCATGTGCCTTACTCAGAGCAGTGGATCTCCTTCTCAAGGGAATGTGGAGATGAGTGAAAACAAAGCTTCCCTCTGTGTTCCTCTTTCCTTTTGAGAGTTCTGTATAAATGTGATGCTTTACCTAGCCTGACTCATGTCATGTCTTCCCTTGCTTGACAGTATTTCTGTTCTTGTCTTTTGTATTAGGTCAGCAACAGCCCTCTGTCAGAAGAGGCAGTCCTGGGATTTGAATATGGGATGAGCATTGAAAGCCCTAAGTTACTGCCCCTCTGGGAGGCTCAGTTTGGTGATTTCTTCAATGGCGCCCAGATCATCTTTGACACATTCATCTCAGGAGGTCGGTTGGCATATGGGTGTGTAATGGATGCATGGCACTGGCCTCTTGAGGACAAATGAATGGAAAGGGCCATCACTGCTTATGGGATTCCTCATACTGCAGCCCCTCGGGAGTTAGGGGTTGCCCTCCATCCATTGAGGTATGGCAGCTATCATGCCAGAGGGCTGGTGCCACTCAGCGACCATGCAGGAAGCACTTTCCCATCTTTGGGGCAGTAAGCCTGGCTTAGGGGGCAGTGCATATACCTGCCAGCTCCCGGTGGTTTGACTTTCAGGCCTGCTCTTGAGGTTGAATAACTGCCATGAATATCAGGTAGGCAATGGTGTCATGGTCAGGATTTGTGATCAGTGAGAATGGCAGCCTTGAAAAGTTGCTTCCCTCAGTCCAGGGTCCACTCAAGCATCTGAAAGTTAGAAGTTATGGATCTTTATTCTTTTCAATCATCATTTACAAAAGCAGTATTGCTTACTGTAAAAATTCGAAGTGTGTAAAGTACAAGTCTGAGTGTCCCCCCAGGACATCCCCCCACTTCTGGGGTGACCACTCTTTGATTTTGAGTGTGCACGTCAGATCCTTCCAATGGTTGGGTTTCTCGGTAAGTGCATAGCGGGGAGGAAGGAAGGTGCCATGAGGGGAGGGGACTTCAGCAATTGCAGAGCCTGTTGTAAAGGTTCTTGTGCTCTCAGTTTGAGGATAGTGGGCTGTGTTGTAAGCGGTGCTGTGAGGAGAGATAGGAGTTCCATTCTCAGAGAGATGTGCCTGAGTGGTGCCTGCTGTCCTAGAACCTGAACCTTTGAGTCTGTCTTCACTTGCTAAGCCCAGTCATGCACATATCATTAGAGTTTCAGTTTCCTCCTAAGTATGGTGTCACAGTGCTGGAATGTACATGCCACAAAAATGGCTTCATAGGACTGGCAGCAAACTAGCATTTGTTTCACTCCCCAAATCACATCAGACTCTTTTGTTCCTGCCCACTAGAGTTCTTACACCCTCCCTGACCTGCGCTTTTCCAGGAGAGGCCAAATGGCTCCTACAGAGTGGTATCGTTGTCCTCCTGCCCCACGGTTACGACGGGGCTGGCCCCGACCACTCCTCTTGTCGCATAGAGCGTTTCCTGCAGGTATGTCCAAGCTCTTCTGGGTTCCAGAAATGTTCTCTTTCCTAGGTGCTGTAAAATAGAAGTACCTCCTGCACATACTTTATTATGTGTGCCTTAAACTCTGAAACATTCTAGTATTTGAATGAAATAGATTTAGTGCAATGTCAATATTCCTTGGAAACATGATGACTCTGATATATTAGGATTACAGTATTAGGGCAATTAAAGTGGTTCCTGAGTAGCAAAGACAAGTGGTTCCTAAACCAGGCTGACCATTAGAATCACACAGAGAGCTTTTTATAAATAGCCATGCAGGGATTAACACGAGATCAGTTTCTTAGGAGTGGGACCTAGGAATCTGTACTTTTACTTAAAAAATTTTTTTAAGTAATGGAAGTATTTTTATAAAATGATTCATGATCATTAAAAAATTTTCAGTAACCACCCAGAAATAACCATTGTTATCATTTGGTGAGAATTCCATTACCAGTGTCTTTTTATGCATATTACTTCCTAATATTTTGTTATGGAAGTTTTCAAACACAGAATAGTTGAAAAAAATTTACAGTGAACATTCATATGTTGCACCCTTAGATTTTACCATTAATATTTTATTATACTTTGTTTTATCATGTTTATACTCATCTGTCATCCCTCTCTCTATTCTACATTCATATTATGTTTGATGCATTTTAGAGTAAATGGAGACTTTTGTACATACCAGCCTAAGTACACACACATCATTATTTTAGCATACAATGCAGATAAAATATATATGTAGATCATAGTTTAGTAGAAATGTAGGTAGAACATTAGATAGATACATAGATAATTATAGTGACAGATAATGATACAAATAAATGATTTGATAAAAGTCAGATTGCAGAAATAAATTGCAGGTAAATTAAAGAGATACATGTGAAATACAAAACTACAGTTTTGGAAAGAAATACAGGAAGTGAGTTTGCGCAAGATAAAATTTGAGAGTCATGAGTACAGAGATGATATTTAAAGTCATAGCATTGGATGAAATCCTCGAAGCAGTGAGTACAGCTAGAGAAGTAGTCCAAATATTGAGCCCTGGGGTAGGTCAACCATAAGAGGCTGCAGAGGAGAACAAATGAGATGGAGAAAGAACAATCAGGGAGATTGGAGAAAGGTCCTAGACAGCAACTGAAGAAAACAAACCAAGAAGGAGGGAGTAAGTAAGGCCTAGTAAGAAGACTGAGAATTATCCATTGAATTTAGCAAGGAAGAGTTCATTTGGTGGTTGGTGACTGCACTTCAGATGGAGTTGGGGGGCCAAGTTTGATTAGAATGTATTCAGGAATATATGGAAAGAGGAAGGTTTAGCATCTCTTCTGAGTTTTGCACAAATAGAGCAAGGAACTGGGGAAACAAGCCAGTGGGGAAATTTATGTCAAGAGAAGTTCTTTTTGCTTTTGCTCTAGGATATAAGAAATGACAGCATGTTTGTCTGCAGATCAGAATTGTCAGTAGGGAAGAAAATGATATAGACTCACTAAAATGGGCAAGATGGGGTAGTGTTCTCTGTACAAGGCATTGCATCAGCTTCAGACAGGAGTATGGTAGGTTCATCTGTGGAAACACCTGGAAGGCAGAAGATAGGACTCATGTAGATGTTGTGGCAGGGGTCTGAGGAAATACTCTTGGGTCATTAGCTGAGAGCGAAGATGGAGGAGGAGGTCCTGGGTTTAAAGGTATGAGATTGTCCTCTGGGAGAGGAGGAGAGGAGGTATATTAGGGGAAATAAATTGTCTAAGAGCATCAAGGGCCACTTGAGATTTGTGGTCAAGAGTTTAAAGTGAGATCAATCAGTGTGGTTACATGTTGCCTCTAGCTACATCTTCAGCAGGTGCAGATGTGGGATGGGTGGAAAGTTGGGATGAACTAGGGTGGTGGTTTGGAATGAGAAAGGGTCAAGGGAGTTAAGGTGTATGCAGGAGAAACACTATAGTGGTTCATTGGAATTTAGGCTAAATTAGGATGGGAGAGAGGAGATGGGAAAAGAGAAGGACATAGAGGTGAGAGGAGAGAGGGACACAGAAGTGAGAGGATCTTTTTGATGAAGTTGAAGACTTGCTGGAGTCAAAGTGCTAAAGGAATTGGGCTAGAGTGGTGGTCAGAGTGGAATGCATAAATGAGAACTTACGGGGAGGTTCCTGTTGTTGATCATAACAAGGATACCTCCATGGGAGTGGGTTGTGGAGGTAGGATGGTGGACAGTGTGCTTGGAGGACATGAGTTAAAGGAACCAAGAAGCTGGGGTGTTAAAAGGCTCATCTACATGTACATTAAATTGCCAAGTCCATGTTAATTTTATCATACCTGCCTCAATGGATTGCTATGAGGCATAAAGAGTCAATATATGTAAATACTTAGCACAATAAATGACATTTGTAGCTGGTGTTTATTATTTTTACTGTCATTACATGTGCTTGCAGTGTGATTATCTCAAGTTCTTTGCTTATACCACTAATTTTATTTTTAGCCCTGCAAAAGAATTAATATATGTAAAATGAAGACTATTTGCTTATTTTATCTGCTTTCATCATGATTATCTCAAGCTCTTTGTTCATGCTGTTTCTTTTTTGTCCTGTTCTGTTTCTTCATGCTTCTTATTTACTTACTAGATTTGCAAAGGTAGATTTTGGTTCTCATTGGTTTCCTTAGCATTGCACTTTCCTTTCTTATCCCATTCTATTATGTGATCTTTAAAACTACCTGCCCCTTAAAAAAATTTTTTTAATACAGTAAGAACACACTTAATATGAGGTCTACCCCTCTTCACAGACTTCTAAGTGTATGATACTTAAATTGTATGTCAGTGTAAAAATCAAAGTGTATGATAGCAGAGAGCAGATCTCTAGAATGTACTCGTCTTGCACAACTGAAACTTTATACCCATTGATCAGCAGCTCCCTGGTTTCCCTGCCCTGACCCTGGCAGCCACTGTTCTGCTCTTTGCTTTTGGGTTTGACTATTTCATATACCTCATGTAAGTGGAATTGGGCAGTATTTGTTCTTCTGTGACTGATTTATTCCACTTAGCATAATGTCCTCAAAATTCATCCATGTTGTTGCATATGACAGGGTTTCTTCCATTTTTTAAGGCTGAATGTATATCAGATTGTGTGTGTATGTGTGTGTACATATATGTGTAACACACACATACATTTCCCTTATCCCTTTATCCACTGATGGACATTTAGGTTGTTTCCACATCTTGACTATTGTGACTAAGGCTACAGTGAACATGGGAGTGCTAATCGCTCTTTGAGGTCCTGATTTCATGCCTTTTGGGTATATACCCAGAAGTGGGATTGCTGGATAACATAGTAATTCTATTTTTAACTTTTTGAGGATCCTCCATTCTGTTTTCCATAGTGGCTGCTCCAGTTATATTCCCACCAACAGTACACAAAGGTTCCAACCTCTTCACATTCTCAGCAACACTTATGTCTTTTGTTAAAACTGTCTGCCTTTTACCTCCTATGCTCCTTTCCTTTTTCTTTTTCTTCTAAAAAGTTATTTTGGCTGTATGATATTTACATTTCTGCCATGTCATTTCATTTCATCTTATCTTTGGTTACTTAACGCAACTCTTCAAAGACCTTATAGTTTCTCCGATATGGTGTGGAAGCAACTCACCTTCTTGGAATGACAGTTGAGTATAGTCTCCAGTTTGTGGAGGGGGAGGAGAGAGCTCAGTTGCACTGAGGGTTTTTCTTGCTAAATTCTGCCATCACTTCTGAGAGTCAATAACTAGCCCATATGAAGGTCAGCTCCCCTGTCAGGGATGTGTATCTCTTCCAAGGGCTTGTGTCTCCTGGCTGCACAGTGCCCTGGAAGAGGCAAGCCTGGCAGCCCTGTCCTCCTCCACTAAGCTCTGGAGAGGCTTCAGACTTTAGATTTTACATTTATTTTTAGCCAGAGGTTTTGTCTCCTTATATGCTCTCTCTAACTGTAGGGAACCTAAGAATTCTCAGGATTTGTCAACTCGTTTTCTCTCCACTGCTTCTGGAATGGGCTGAGGAACCATGCCACAGCTTTCTGTTCCACCAGGATCTTCTGAGATTTAATTATTTGATCTCAACTTTCAACCTTGTTAGCTGGTTTTGAGTTTGTCTCTGAAACAAATGAAACCCAGCTATAATTGTGTTTATTTTATTAGGAGAGTGAGATTCTGATATGCTTCCTCCTGCCATCTCAAGCCCATAGTAATAAGGATTGTAAATTTTAAAAGGTCCCTTCCAGATGCTTCTTGCAGTCAGTATGCTTAGGAACAATGGTGTGAAAATACAGACTTGGGCAGATGGGGAGAGTCATCAGAACTCTCTTCTGGTTAATTCTTCACAGGTCATAAATTTACCTTCTGGTATCTTCTGTAACAGAGGGAAATATCTTTTCTCCTCCTCACTGAGAGCCCCATGTTTCCCTTAGGATAGCGTATGCCATGATGACTGAATAGGGTGATCTGACCGTCTGCTCCTTTCTCTCCCAGATGTGTGACAGTGCAGAAGAGGGCGTAGATGGAGACACAGTGAACATGTTCGTGGTACACCCAACTACTCCTGCACAGTATTTCCACTTGCTCAGGAGACAGATGGTCCGGAACTTCAGAAAACCCCTCATTGTTGCTTCTCCGAAGTTGTTACTTAGGTTCCCTGTAAGTAGAAAAAGCTGGCTAGTGAGCCTTTCTACTGTTGTTATTTTTGTGCTGTATTTTCCTCTATTTTCTGCATCTGATTGTATTTCTAAATTACAGAAACATCTTTTTAGTTTTACTTAGCCTTGCTGCTTTCTCTTTTTTAATCTTTTATGAGTAACTAGCAACATAGGTAGCTCTCAGTTTCATTGTAATGAAGGGCAGAAGGGCAGCAGATACGATCACACTGGTATCCCAGTCTGAGCAGAAACAATTTTGTAGAAAAAGCTTTTAAGTCCAAACAGTCTAAGCACACATGTTGATAGTAGCAAGGTGGGAATTTAAAGTATTTTGATGAAAATGAGTGATGTTATTCATTGACTTTAATTTAGTTTTTTTCTGTCAAATGCTTGATCACAGTTAGATTCCTATTTCAAGCAATATAATATTACAGCTTATTGCTACAGTGTTTTAAAAGGGTACATTTTCCTTTGGTTTACCTGAACCAAGTATTAAGCACATGGTAAATTTTTAAAATCCTAAACTATGTGAGTTATCAAGTGTTCAAGATAATAAATACTCTTAAGTGTGTATTTAGCCCATCTGCTATCATTTTTTTCAGTTTTATATGAGAGTCTTAGAATTAACATTAAAAAAACATTTGCCTTTTTTGGGACGCTACTGCTGAGTGTTCACAGTCACTTCGGATTCGTATCTTCAAGGCTATGCTTCTCACAAAGGTTTGGGGGTGTACACTTGAATTGAGGGATGCTGAGGAACGCTGTGGGGGATTTGCCTTCACCAGTGATCCCAGAGTGGAGGCCTCCTTTAGTTTTGCACTGTATGCGCCTCACCTAGGGCCTCACCCTGGAGTCAGTACTGAGGAAACACTTTCTTTCACCTTTGGCAGCAGTTCAAGTGTTTGACTTTGTTCTTTCTTACCCAGCACTCCTGGGGACAACCTTGTACATTCTGAGATGGCTTCGTGAGCCTGGAAGCATCACAGGACATGCATGACAAATTAATGCACTTCCTCGAACAGTCTTTCCAAGGGAGCTCTTTTGACACAATATTTGGAAACAGCAGTATTGAAGGGGCCAAGTCAAAATGAAAGATACTGTCATTATCAAGAATCTGGGATCTTAACCCAACTTTTAATGTACCTCAATCATAACAATGAAGGAGTAGAATGTTATTAAATATAGTGTATGTACATTAGTAAATACTGAACAAACTATTTGAAATTTTGTTGAGAATTTCTTTTGCTGTTTGAAACTGAGATGAAGAATTCATATTCTGGCTGCAGTTAATATTCCATGCCTCTCCCCAAGTCTAATAAATGACTGATCCAATAAGTAAGGCTTTCCTTGGGAGACAAAAAATATGAACAGCTATCCTGTCAATTCACATGAAAAACTGTTCTTATTAAGCAATCAAATCTCTTAATTAAACAGGTAAGTAAGTATCTTTATTTAAAAGTGAGTATGAGCATTATTGAATTTTGATTTCTTCCTACAAACTGGATTATTGGTATAAGCAATCTAGCAGAATATAAGTCCACCCTTTCTTTCAAAGGTGCATTTGGAGATGAATTGACATGTGGCAAACATGTCTCAGGGCTATAGGGGTTTGTCTGTCAGATAGTACCTAAAGCCCATCCCAACTTCTCTCCCAACTCTGAACTCTAGGCCCTTTTGATTCCCACTATGGGAAGTGGGGGCTGACAAAGGGCTCTGGTTTAGAATGCAGAAAGATGCCTCTTTCATATGTTGCTTATAAGAATAGCTGAATAGGTGGAGGAGCCAAGATGGCGGCGTGAGTAGGGCAGTGAAAATCTCCTCCCAAAACCATATATATTTTTGAAAATACAAGTACAACTATTCCTAAAAGAGAGACCAGTGGATACAGTACAACAGCCAGGCTACATCTACATCTGCGAGAACCCAGCACCTCACGAAGGGGGTAAGATACAAGCCACGGCCCGGCGGGAATCGAGCGCCCCCCACCCCAGCTCCCCAGTGGGAGGAAAGGAGTTGGAGCGGGGAGGGAGTGAAAGCCCAGGATTGCTAAACAACCAGCTCTAGTAACCTACACTGGGAGTGCAGACACACAGTGCACAGTGTGTTGGACATTAGAGAAACGGAAAAGCAAAATCTATGAGTGGGTCCCCACAATCGGCTACCCTGGGACAAAATAAAAGTGAGTGCTTTTTGAAAGTCTTAAAGGGACAGGGACCTCACAGCTGGATGGAATTGTCCCGGCACACTGAGCCCAGCTGCTGGG